TTGTTGATACTTTTATTAAGGTACAATTCGCATATGATAAAACGGTCCAGTGGTTTTAGTAGATTCACAGGGTTGTACAGCCATCACCACAATTTAACTTTAGAATATTATGCCTCCCCCACAAAAAGAAACATAGTATTCATAATTGCTCACTACCCACACCCTAGTCCTCAACGCCTCCCAGATTGAGCGACCACTCCTCTACTTTCTGCATAGCTTAGTATATTCTGAACAGTTCATATAAATGTAATCACATGAAAAGTGGTTCTTTGTGGCTGGCTTCTCTCATTTAGCTTGTTTTCTGTCTCATCCAGGTTGGAGCGTATGTCAGTACGTCATTCTTTTTATTTTTTTAATTTCAGAGCGAGAAAGGGAGAGGGAGAGAGAGATAGAAACATCAATAATGAGAGAGAATCATCAATCAGTTGCCTCCTGCACATCCCCTATTGGGGATCAAGCCCATAACCTGGGCATGTGCCCTGACTGGAAATTGAACCGGTGACCTCCTGGTTCATGGATTGATGATACTCAACCACTGAGCCATGCCAGCCAGGCAAGTTGCATTATTGTTAATGTGATTAAGCAGTTATAGGGCCAGCCAGTTGTTTTAATTACTATCCAGGGTAAGCTAAATTAATAAAAATGGAACCCAAATAAATAAATAATACCATTCACAAGTCACTCCTGAGCTGAGCAAGCCACCTCCTTCCTGGGACAAGGCTGTCGAATGTGAAAAGCCAGAGCTTGGATGTGATCATGTTCCCTCGGGGGATCCATGTCTGCGCTGCATGGGAGCTGAGAATAACACCCTGAAACCGTGTGCAAGAAGGGAGGGCGTCAACCCCACCGGCCTCAGAACCTCCTACAGAGGCCCCATCCCTCACCTCGAGTCAGAAGGGTGTGAAACACTGGACCCCGAGTGTGAGACCCACCTCCAAGGGGACTGGTGTCAACTTAGAGACGTCACAGAATCAGAGGAAAAAGCTACCGTGAGCCTGCGGGATAGCATATTGAAAGGAAGGTATTTGCCTGAGACGCGTCAATTCAGTGCAGCTGACATCATGGTTCACCTTCTCTGAGCGAGGGCGCTGAGCCGGGTGCCAGGCCGGTGGGGCTGTCGGCCGGAAAAAATGAACTACAGGGGGGCCTGATTAATTCTGAGTTTTAGGTAAATGAGATATCATTTTTAGTATAGGCATATGCCCAAACGATATTGAAGATACACTTAACACTAAAACAATGTTTCACTGCTCATCGGAAATCAAATTTAAGCAGGAGTCCATGCTTTATCTGGATCCGACTTGATCCTGCTTCCAGAGGACCAAGCCCAACACCAGCTTTCAAGATCCAGTGACACACCCCAAGGCTAATGATCAGCACTGAAGTTAAGAACGAAAGGCAGCCCTGGCCAGTGTTGCCCAGTGGTTAGAGTGTCCACCCTCCCACCAAAGGTCATAGAGTTTGATTCCCAGTCAAGGGCATGTACCTGGGTTGTGGGTTCCATCTCTGGTGGGGGCAGGTGAGGGAGGCAACCAATCGATGTGTCTCTCTCACATCGATATCTCTCTCTCTCTCTCTCTCTCTCTCTCTCTCTCTCTCTTTCTCCCTCTCTCTCTCTCTCTCTCTTCCCCTCCATCCCTTTTTTCCTCCCTTCCATTCTCTCTGAAAAGCAATGGGAAAAATATCCTCATGTAAGGATTAACAAAAGAAAGAAAGGCAAAGAGGGAAGTTTTGAGAATGACCATATGAGGGCCTGAAGCTACAAGGAGCAGGTGACTCCTGATCTAATCATCTTTAGTCACCATAGAAACAAGCCATAAAATCCACCAGAAAGAGCTGGTAAACAATATCTGCCACCTCAGGACCAATAGAGACCATCCACATTCCCTTCCCTGGCTAGGTCCTGTCAGGCCTGGTTTCATTGCCCCAGTGTCTCCCAGGACACATCCAGGACCCACCCTGCCCTCCTCCTCCCACGGCCCTTGCTTTTCTTCCCAGCCACAGCCTCAGATGGCCACCCTGCAATGCCCACCCTGTTGGGAGAGACAGGCAACTGGACACCCAGTCCTGTGTCAAAGGAAAACCAGAACCAGACAGTAGTTAAAGCAATAAAAGCAATATTGCAACAGGGAAAACCAGACCTCAGTCCCTGCAGGGCTATACAGAGCTCAGTTCCAAACCCAGCCTGGGCAATTGTCATTTACAGCCGAATAGCAGGGTGAGGCCAGTGGGTGGGAAATTACTAAGAGGGATCGTCAGATGTAAGGGGGATTCTGGCTAAACTGACCCAACAGGATTCCTGCTAACCTGACAGCAGGCCAGGGTGATTAGCCATCCCCTGAGGGAGTGTTGGGGAAAGGGGGTGATCAGATATGGAGGGTGGAGGTTCTGGTTAAACTGACTTTGCAGGGTTCTTGCTAACACAGAATTTTATAAGAAAATACATAGATGGGCCCAGGAGCAGGCTCATGACTTTGATTAAAGTTTGGTCAAGCAAAGAATCTTTGTCACCTGCCCATGAGACAGTCACACTCTACCAGAGGAACAGGCCACACATGAGGGAAGTAGCCCAAGGACATACAGCAAAAAACATGTTCTAAACACAACAGGTCTGACTGAACTGTCTCTGTCCTTCCCAGGGTAAAATAACTCTCTCCTAATCCAGGTTGTGATTCAATTGATTGGGGAAATGTTCAATCTTTCAGACAAGTCACAGGCTGGCCGTCAGCTTTGAATACAAATGCAGGGGTTTGCACTGATGCGGTTTTATTTGACTCTGGAAATTAGAGGCTCTTTGAAGGTAGCATGCAAATTTGTTCAAAGTGTCCCTGACTTTGGGAGAAAAGTCCCAAAGCCCTGATCATGCACTTAGGCAAGGGAAGTGCTCTTTAATGCCTAGCCTGAGGTCCCTGCTACCTGGGAACACCAATGTCAACCCTGGTTTTCACCTGTAAAGCCCAGTCTAGCCAGGCTGGCAGAGACCTGGAGCCTCACTGTAGGTCATTCCCCAACATGAGGCGTGGCTGGTCATTCCACGACGTCCACATGGTAGTCTTTGCCCCGCATGACCCCTTTCTCCACCAGGAGCAATTCTGCTCCTCTGTCAAGCCCCTGCTCAAATCTTCCCTAAATTTCAGCACATGGGGCGACTGTGAGAACTGAGGCCACGGTGGCCAAGCTCCCAGCACAAGCGGACACAGATGGGGTGCCCAATCTAGGACAGCTCTGATTGTCACCCTCATGCCCTCGCTCCTGCCCCTCTTGAGGAACCGCATGCCTTTCCCAGCTCCGTCTCTTAAGCATTGCTACATGGTTACCCCTCTCCTCCACAACATCCCGAATTCCCTGAGGGTAGGGACCTTGTCTCACTTGTCTTTGGAGTCCCACGCCTGGCTCTGGGCCTGGCACTTAGTGGGCTCCCTTTCCAAATAAACCCTCCTGTCTCCTAGGCTCCAAGGACAACAGCTGATGAATGGTCAAATAATGGCAATAAATTAAGATTCATTTTAAGATATGGCTATAGAGACAGGCCAAGACTGTGCTGCTAGTGACATCATGTCGGGCTGGTGACACCATTGATCATGAATAATGTTTACTTCAGGACAGTGCCCTTGGCTTGGACACTTGGGGAAAATGGTCCAGAGTCCCACTGAGCGTGTCACTGTGGCCTGTGGGAACTGCCCCCAATAGTGAGGGGCTGTCCAGGGTGTGGCATGCACCAACTGGCCCCCTGGGATAAACGCTGCACTTCATCTATCTCTACAGGTCCCGGAACCTCAGTAGATCTTTTGGGATAGCTGAATTATTTCCTCTTAAAACACATGAACCTCATGCCAAGGACAAGAAGCTCAGAAGAAAGCTCCTTCCGAGTCTCCCATCTCCCTCAGGCTTATGAGAACGGGGTCCAGAGAAGGAACGCTCGCAGGTGGTCCGTGGGCCAGACTCGCTCCGTGTCCACTCATACCTCTGTGCCATGCCCTCCTCTGGGAAGCCCCTGGCTCTCGGGTGACCTCCTACAGCAGGTCTCCCTGTGACAGAAGGGTCTGGTGCAGTCCCTTGAGAGGTTTCCTGATTCGACATTGGTCATTTTCACAAGTTCAAGGCAGTCTTAGGGTAGGTAAGCAGGAAGAGCCGGCAGGCAGGTCCTATCTCTGCAACTTTAGTAACAAAATCTGCAGTGATGGGGAAAACGTGCCCAGGGGGCCTGAAGCAGATCCTGCAAGGCCTCACGGGGTGCAGACTAGGAACCTGGAGATGAGGACAGTTCCTCTCAGGCTGAAAACCAGGAGTAGGGTTCTAAAAGCCAGAAAGCTCTGCACACAAGCCAAGGGCTTTCTGCCAGGATTGCCTCCTAGCAGCCTCGGGGAATCCACGAAGAAGCAATGGGGTGATCGTCATGGGGGTGGCTGAAGGCATGGATTTGGGGGAGACAGAAGACTGTGTGCAAACTCCTACCCCATCATTCACTAGCATGATCAATTTCGTTTCTTTCGCTCTAAAATGGTCTCCCAGGGAGCAGGCATGAGCTTCCTACACCACTTTTCTGGAAGATGTGAGCAACACCACGGGCTGAGATCCCTAAGGACACATCCAAGGCCGGTAGGAGGTCCCTGGGTTCCGTGTGAAGAGGAGGTTCCCACGCCGGAAAGGAACACTTGGTAGCTTGCCTCTGACATCATTCAGCTCAGCTTCTCCAAACGGTTTACCAAACGCTCCAACATCCAAGATGCACCCTCATGGCCCCGTCCCATCAGTTCCTTTGATCACTGGGGAGACCTGGCCCCGAGACTTGTCGTTGTCACCCTGTGGGAACCGGCGCGCCCAGCTCGGGGGGCGGAGCCAGCGGGCCGGGGGGCGGAGCCGGCGCGAGTCACGTGCCGCCCGGCCCCGGAAGCGCTAGCGCCCGAGACCCCAGGGTGACCGGGTCAGGGGCTGTCGTTTCGAGGGATCGTGGAGGTCGCGGGGGTCCCTGCAGCGTCGCGCCCCCCTCCGCCGCCGCCATGGCCTGGACCAAGTACCAGCTGTTCCTGGCCGGGCTCATGCTCGTCACCGGCTCCATCAACACGCTCTCGGCCAAGTGAGTCCGGGCCGGGGGAGAGGCGGCCGCGGGGCGCCAGCGACGCCCCCCACCACCACCTTCCCCGCCCACCCCTCTCCGCTGTCCTCTCCCGGCCTCACCCGCTCGCCCAGTGTCTCCGGTCGGTTCACTCGGTTCAGGGACCACCCGGAGGTGCGGGGCCTGGGTTATGCGGGGCGGCTGGTGCCCCGGCGGGCGGGACCCCACCGGCTTTGACTCGCCGTGTGCTCGATCCTGCCAGGCACTTCCACCTCCGCGTCTCAGTTCCATCTTTAAACGACCGAGGGTGGGACCAGTTCCTCCCCTGGACCCCCTTCCAAGGCCGGGGCGGTGGGGGAGCTGGGAGGGGGTCGGGGCGGCCCCAGGCCGGGGCTCGCGAGCTCCCGAGAAGGGCAGACCTGCAGCCCTCACGGAGGAAGGGTTACGGGGGGGACATCGCGGCAGGAGACAGCAAGGCCAGGTGAAAGCAGGCTAACGAACAGCTAGTGCTCGGGCTGGATTTTATCCCAGAATCAAAGCGGGGCTTCTGAGCAGGGAGTGAGGTGCTGAAAATGACATGATGAGGCCGGTGGCCAAGGTGAAGAGTAGTTTGGTGCAGGGACAACCACCCCAAGGCTGCTGCCTAGCAGGTGAGGGGACCAGGAGGCGGCAGTGCAGTGGGAGAGACCGGGAGAAGCCACAAGGCTGACCCACAGGGTCAAGAGACAGTGATCCCTCCAGGGTCTGCCTGGAGAACAGAAGCGCCATTAACCCAGACAGGGGTGCAGGGGGGCAGTTCAGCTGTGATGTGTGAGGGTGCGGTGCTGGTGGGAGGGTGGGGACAGGCCCTAACAGCGGTTCTCAACCTGTGGGTCGCGACCCCCTTGGTGGTCGAACGACCCTTTCACAGGGGTCGCCTAAGACCATCCTGCATATCAGATATTTATTTACATTACGATTCAAAATAGTAGCAACATGACAGTGATGAAGTAGCAACGAAAATAATTTTATGGTTGGGTCACAACATGAGGAACTGTATTTAAAGGGCCAGAAGGTGGAGGAACACTGCTAGGAGGTTGGGGATTGAGCACCCAGGGCTGTCATGCGGGTGAGGAACCACCCTCTGTAATGTGCGAGGAGGATGGGGGTCCAGGAGGCAGCCCCTTCTCTTGGCAGCTCTTTGCCTCTTTCTCTGCCCCCACCTCAGAGCAGGGCCTTCCTTCCCCTCTGTTCACCATCTAGGAGCCCCAGGACGCAGAGCCTGGCCTTTCTCTGAGCCGATTCCTAGGTGCACGTGGAGAATGGTGGGCAGTGGTCTCCCAGTCAGGCTCCAGAGCAAGGAGGAGTCACCACCGTCACCTCTGGCCAATGCTCCCTGGGAGGAGGGGGCTGGTCGTGTCTATTTCATTTTGGAGGCTTTTGCTCCTAGCACATGACGTCAGTGATGTGAGAAACGCCCCCGGAAGAGAGGTCTGGGAGAAAAGCGTCCCATTCAATTCATCAGGCGTGTGGAAAGCACCTCCGGTGTATGAGGCACCGTCTGGACTCAGGGAGGTAGACAGAGAAGGTCTCTGCCTTTGAGAGGCTTAGAATCGGAGGTGGAGGAGGCAGACGTGTGCCCACTTGGCAGTCACAGTGTCCTCCCTTCTCCAGAGGAAGTGGCGCTCTGGGTGGGGCCCACCTTCCCTCTGTGCCAGCTGTGTCTGTCCCTCCCGAGCTGGTCTCCTGAGCCCTGGGGCCTCCTGAAGGTCACTCCTTTGTGAGCCTTCGCTCTAAAGGAGACTCAACCTGTGGGCCCCACCTCAAGTTAGGATCTGCTCACAGCAGAACAAGTGGCCCATCCGCAGCTCCAGCCAAGACCTCAGGCAACTGCTTAGAGAGTGGCTGTAGGTCTGCCCGGGCTGCTGTCCCCAGGGAGAGTTGAGATTGCCCAGTTCCTCCAGGGCTGACTCAGCTCCTTCCTTTAAAAGCTCCAAACCAGTCAGGTAGGAAGCCAAAGGATCCCCAGCCTCCAGACGCCTTGCCTTGAGCTGCAGGAGAGAGGCTCCCAGGTGGGGCCCCAACCTTTGACCCTGCCCCCTGCCCGGTAGCCTGTTGGGGGCCTCTCACGCACTCTACACAATGCTCCAAGGCCAGCCTGTGAGGAGGATGCTCCCAGAGCGGAGGGACTTGGGAAAGTGGCTGGGGATATCCTGATGGGAATTAATTCTCAGTTTGAAAGCACACTCTGACTGCAGTTTTTGGCGGGGACAGAAATAAGAATGTGATCACAGCAAGTGCTAATCGGCTAACTCACAGAGAGCACCATGTGCCAGGCCTGTCTCTGGCCGCCTTTCATGTGTCAAATTAATGAGTTCTTATTGCCATCCTATGAAGTAGGTAAACTCCTTGTCCCTGGATCAGGAAACTGGTATGGAAAGATGGACTTGCTTGCCCACGTTCAACTCAGCTATTACAGAATTTACTAGAGGCCCGGTGCGTGAAAGTCCATGCACAGGTGGGGGCCCTCCGCCTGGCTGGCGATCAGGGCGATCAGGGCCATCTTGCCCAGTCCCAATCAGGGCCAGTGGCTGGGGAGGGACCGAGGGAGGGCTCCAGGGCGTGTCCGGCCCCGTCTCACCCAGTCCCGATCGGCTGGACCCCAGCAGCAAGCTAACCTACCAGCTGGAGCATCTGCCCACTCATGGTCAGTGCACATCATAACGACTGGTCATCGACTACTCAGTCGGACACTTAGCATATTAGGCTTTTATATAAGTAGTCCACTCTAGAATCCATGCTCTTAATCACCAACATGGGACGAGGCTGGGGACTTCTCTAGTCATTTGGGGGGGCGGCATTTGGAGTTGTTAGAAATATAGAAATCATCCATTCTAACCCCCACAATTTACAGTCGAGGTCCCAAGAGAAGCTTCTTTTTGTGTCTCAGCTGGCTGGGTCAGAGCAGGGACCAGAACCTAGGTCTCAGCATTGTGGTCCAGTCCTATTCCTTTACAATTGGGGTACCCCAAAGACCCCCTCTCTTGGGCGGGACTTCCACCTTTTCCCAGACGCAGGTAAAATCTACTGAGGAAGATTTTCTGATTTACTTAGAGAGGGCTCATTCTCATTTATCACCACGTGAGTCAGGTTACCCTGGAGAGCGGAGAAGCCCTGGGCCCTTCTATGGATCCCTCTGTGGGGGAAAGGCGCTGACTCACTGGGCTTGACAAGCCGGGAACTCAAGAGGAAATGGCAGAGATTCTCCGGGGAATGGACACACAGCCAATCGGTCTGGGGCAGCCACTTCCTCATCTCAGTCCAACCCCTCCCCCACCCACCCACACACACATAGATACGCTTGCCTCCCAGAATGCTGAGCTTTGAGTTTGACTGGGCAAGGCCATGTATAGTGACTCACCCTCATCAAGGGGAGCCCACCCCAGCCTGCCGAGGCCCAGGGAACTCTAAGAGAGGCACCTGCTCATGCGGCCTCAGCCTAACCCTGGTGGGTCCCCACCGGCCTCCTGCCCTGGAGACCATGGCTTTCCCCCTGGAAACAGTATCTACAGAGAATGGAGGACCCATCTGCAGAGTAAAACCCCTTCCTCACCTCAGCCAGGGGAGTGGAAAGAAACTGGAATAAGCAGGTGATAGGAGAACTTCAAGTGTGAGGAGAGGGCTTGGAACTGGAGGTAGACTCCTGGGTACCAGCCCTTCTGGGCACCTCCCGGGCCTGTGCTCCTCAGCCCTCTCTGGTCCCTGGGTTGCTGTCTGTGTAATAGGAGCTTTGTGAGATGGTGGCTGAGTTTCTCACCCTCTTTGCAACTCTGGAACTGCTGGGGCAGTAGCTAAGGCCCTTCCAGCCACCTCAGCCTCAGCCAGCAGGGTAGGTCCCGGAGAAAGGATGCGCTACTGGAGAAGGGATGCTCCCAGAGAAGGGATGCTCCCCGGAGGAGGGATGGTCTTCCAGAGCTTTTAGGCAGGAGCAGAGCCTGGCGGACCACAAGGGGTGGTGGCTCCTGCTCAATCAAGGGGAAAGGGAAAAGGCACAGAAAAGAACTTTGATTGACCACCTGCCATGCACCAGGTCTTACATATCTTATTTATTACTTTTGACAATTCATTAGTATTATACCCATTTTTTTAAAAAAATATTTTTTTTATTGATTTCAAAGAGGAAGGGAGAGAGGGAGAGAGAGAGAGAAACATCAATGATGAGAGAGAATCATTGATCGGCTGCCTCCTGCACACCCCCTACTGGGGATTGAGCCCGCAACCTGGGCATGTGTCCTGGACCAGAATTGAACCTGGAACCCTTCAGTCCGCAGGCGGATGCTCTATCCACTGAGCCAAACCGGCTAGGGCAGAATTATCCCCATTTTATAGATAAGAACACTATAACTTGTCCAGCCTATGAAACTCAAAATCAGCTTTCCAGGTAGCCTGTTGCCTTTTCTGAATGTAAATGTCAGCACATGGGTTTGGGCCTGTTGTTAACTGTCTGAGCCTGAACACGCCTCTCTCCACCCCTCCACCCCACACCTTGAAGTCCCCGTCTGTAAATGAGAATCCCTGTGAGGCTTTGACCAGACAACCCTCGGGAAGTGCTGGGCACAGTCCTGGCACCAAGTCAGTACTCAGTGAACCCTGTATTTATAAAAACATCTTAGTGACATGATTTGCAAATAGCCAAGAGCTATTCCACGTTAGGGTCATTGCTGTCATCCCCAGATGGACCGGGCTGGATTTTGGCTCTTGTTCTGGGCTACTGAGGCCCTCCTGTGCCTGCACAATGAACTGAGGTCTGTCTCAGGGCCAGGATGTGAAGCCTAATTCCTCTCAAAGTGTCTGCTGGCCTGATCTCCTCCCGGGCTGAAGAGAGTCTGGGCAGGGCAGCCTGTCCCCATGACACCTAATCCCTTGGGCTATAAGCCATCCCCAGGCCCTCAGATACAAAAAGACTCCTTTTCCTCAGCTGGGAATGCTGCCAGCCCCAACCTGTTCAGGCAGACCCACCCCTGGGAGAAAGCAAAGACAGCCCTTTAGGGTGGAGGTGGGGGAGGGGAGGAGCTCAGCACCAACCCTGCATCCAGCTCCCCACGCAGTGCCCCACCCTGGGCCCAGCTTGTCCCACCAGCAGGAGGCACCTCAGACCAGGTGAGAAATCGAGACTCATGAGACATTGCCTCTGGGTTGCACGTAGCACCTGCCTGTTTGCTTGGAGGGGTCTGGAAGTCTCATTCATTCAACCAAAAAATGTTGGAGCTTCTGTATAGTGATGTGCCAGGAGCAGGGGGTGGGAGCTGCTGGCTGCTGAACTTACTCTAAATGACAGTGAGTGTGGAACCAGAGAGTGAGACAGGTGTGAGTGGTCATCTTGAACCTGCCAATCGATGCTCTGGGTGTGGCCCCAGGAGGAGGAAGGGCTTCCATACCTGCCGTGGCCAAGGCTTCTGGTTGACCTGATGGACTTGGCAGGACCTCCCTTAGCCCTCCTGGAGGAGCCCTGGCTCCAGCCCCAGGAATCCCCACCTCTCCAACCTGCTCCGTTCCTCCTTCCTCCGGGGAAGTTGGCTCTGTGCCCTGGGTGAGGTTTGACCTCTTCACTCCTCCTCTGTCTCACTCAGTTGCCTCCCCCAGACCCGCCCAGGGGGCTCTTCTGCAAAAGCGAGCAGCTTGTAAATCATGCCCGCCCTGAGCCACAGCTGTCTGTGGCCCCCACCCACATCCCATGTCCTGTCCTCCCTGGGGACCCAAGAGCCAGAACCTGTAGAGGATCGGGCAGAAATGAGCCCCAGAGAGCGGGTGGTTTTATTCTGCAGCAAGGGCTGCCTTCCTCCATTGGTGCTGGGACTGGTTGTAGCCGGTCCCCTGACCCGGATTCCTCTCTGCCTTCCCAACCAGTCACATCAGAACCTGTCCCCGCCCTGCAGCTCTCCTTTGGGCCTCGTCATTCCCAAGAACCACGAGCCCTCCTAACTGCCCCTCTCACCCCCATCTCAGGGAGTGTGTGAGGGTCTCCCTCTGTGAGATAAGTGACCATAGCCCTGTTTGCTCACTCGCCCTGGGATGTGTTCAGATACCTGGGTAGACGTGGTCTCTCCCTCACAGGCCTGGGCTGCCCTCCCGGGTGACCAGGGGCTCCATCACCACTCAGTTCGCCCTCCCACTGCCAGCATCCGGGCATCGTGCCCTTGCCCTGGGCTGTGGGAAAGACCTTCCTGTTCCCCTCCCCAAACTCAGGGCACAGAGAAGCCAGGGCTGGCCAGGATGTGTGTCAAACCCAGACTCTTAACTGCTTGGCACAACCATGGTTGTGGCTCTGTCGGGGGCACAGGAAGCAGAAGGCTCCCCTGCTTGTGCAAGGATGCCTCTAGAGTCGGGCTGGGCACTGCAGTGTGGCTGCTCTTGACCGACTTTTTGGGAGAAGTCCTGAATCTCTCCAGTTTGAGACAGCCTCTGCTTTCGGTGGGTGCTGCAGAGGGAGCCGGCCAGCAGCCCACAGGAAGCAGCCCTGGGTCTGAGTGACTTGAGTCAGCAGTGTGACGCAGTCCAAGTTGTGTCAACTAACTTGAGTCAGCAGACACAGTCATGTCAACTAACCAGGGCATCCCACGTGAGAGAGGGGTCACTGTCTCACCAGGCTCAGTCTGGGCCAGATCACATGCCCCTGGCTCTGGGCCTGGCCCGCCAGCGCACTTCCAGAAGCCAGCAGCCAGGGAAGTGAGAGGTTAGGAAGGGCTGGGCTGTTTAGCCAGGAGATTAGAACAATCAGAAGGTGGAAAAGTCCCCAAATCTCAGAAGGGCTTTCAAATGAGAGAGATCAGACTAGAACACAGGAAGACAACCAAGCCCGGCAAAAGTGAAACTCAAGGGCGGGACTTCAGCGCACAGACAGCGGACAACACAGAATGTAGGTGTAGCTGTCCAGCGCCCTGGGCCGTGAAGGATTCTGGGCCTGTGTGGGCTCTTTGGGGAAGCGAGCCATAATCAGTTATGCCGCCTGCCAGGGTGCTCACTGGTGCCGGGCACTTGCCATCTGCCTTCGCGTCTGCACTGGAAAGACCCTCCAAGCCTTCTGGTCACAGGAAGGTGACCAGGTGTCTGAGTCAGGCGGCATTTCCCAGGCCTAAGTGCCCTTGGAGACCAGTGACTCCTGATATTGTTGTGCTGTGTGTCTATTTGATAATCTGGTGAATTCTAAAGTAATGTTTTAAAATGGACAAATAAAAGACTGAGGATCACAGAAAAAGCCAAGTATGCTGACATGAAGTTATCAGAACATTAAAAAGGCAAGTTCATGATAGTAATATGTGTCTATATGCTTCTTAACACATAAAATTGTAAACAGTGGGATCGTGAGAATAGCTGTGGTTTCTGTGACAAAGCCCCAGTGCTACAATGCCGTGTTCAGAATTTGAGGAAAAGCTTAATTTCAGTTAGAGGTTCATGACATTTCAGCGAAAGGTTCTCAAGTCCCCACATTCTGTCCACACCCCCAGATGAAGACTCCTTGCGCGGAGACTGGCCCCTTTGAGAGGGAGCCCCACGCTGGGCCCAGTCCTCCAAGTATGGCCTTTGGCCTTGGGAGAAGCGAGCTTGTCTGCAGGCACCCGCTGCACTACAGGGTTTGACCTTCTCTCTCTGCTGCAGGTGGGCTGACAACTTCGTGGCCCAGGGCTGTGGAGGAAGCAAGGAGCACAGCTTCCAGCACCCCTTCCTCCAGGTACCTGCCCCACCCTCCCCACGACCCTCCCGACCTCCCAATCCTCCCCACCTCCTGTCACCCAGGCCTCCTGGCCCCGGAGGCCCTGCTGTTTCTGGTCCTGGGGTTGGAGTCTCCCCCTGCTCCCAGGAGAGCTTCCCAGGAGAGCTACCCACGTCTCTCTCCCTCCCCAGAAGAGAGGCCAGAGTGTGAGTGCCCTGGAAGGGAGCAGAGGGCACAGTCCTCTGTGAGAGGCCTGAGTGGGCACCGTGAGGCCAGCCCTCACCACGTTAACTCAGGACACATTTGGAAAACATCAACCCTCATGGCAAAACCTGCTCTCCATCCATCGGGAACCCAGACCCCACAGGGACAGGGACCATAAATAGGAGGCACCTTATTGCTCCACAGGGAAGTAGGAGACCCGGTTTTCAGCCCAGCTCTGCCAGCAACTTGCTCTGTGACCTTAAATAAATTCCTGAGCCTCTCTGGGCCTGTTTATGCATCTAGAACTTGACCAGGGGTTGGCCTAGATCAGCGGTTTTCAGACAAGGCTCTACACAGCCTTAGGGTTTGTGTCAAGATGTTCAAGGGGCTGAGGGGTGACCCAGGCGGCAGTCTCTGGCCTCCCACACACAGCAGCATTGCTTGTGCCAGTTCTATGTGTTGGGGTTATAGGTAAGCTTCTGTTTGAAGAAAGGTTATGTTTAAAATATTTTTGTTGAAGGTGACCCTCCCTCCAGCTCTAAACTCCTAGGGTTCTGTCCCTGCAGGCGGTGGGCATGTTCCTGGGGGAGTTCTCCTGCTTGGCTGCCTTCTACCTGCTCCGGTGCAGAGCCGCGAGGTACTCAGATGCCAGCATGGATCCCCAGCAGCCCTTCAACCCCCTTCTTTTCCTGGCCCCAGCCCTTTGCGACATGACCGGGACCAGCATCATGTATGTGGGTGAGTAGCCAGGCCAGGCCGAGTAGGGCTCAGAGAAGCCCATGACCCCAGGGGGCCATTGATGAAACAGCCACTCCCACCCCAGCTCATCTTCACCACCCGGCCCACCCGAGATTCACTGAGCGCATGCCACATGGGAGGCACGTCTGCACCCTGAGAACACCTCGGCGGACGGACAGCCTTGGCTCTCAGGAACTAATGTCCCGTGTCTCCTCTCCCAGCCCTGAACATGACCAGCGCCTCCAGCTTCCAGATGCTGCGGGGAGCAGTGATCATATTCACAGGCCTGTTCTCAGTGGCCTTCCTGGGGCGGAGGCTGGTGCTGAGCCAGTGGCTGGGCATCCTCGCCACCATCGCGGGGCTGGTGGTCGTGGGCCTGGCCGACCTCCTGAGCAAGCACGACGATCAGCACAAGCTCAGCGAAGTGATCACAGGTGCAGCGGGGTCGGGACCCAGGGGCCGCCCTCCTGTCCTCTAGGAGCCCAGCGCAGAGCCAGTCAACGAGCTGTTACAAGCTCTGCTGCGTGCCAAGCCCTGGGTGGGCCTGTGGGGACCCGCTGCTGTGGACCTGCACCTGCTCTCAAGTTGGCACACAGAGTGTAGGGGAGGCCAGAGGCCCAAGCAGCATGAGAAATGGGTAGATAGGAACCGGGGGTCAGAGGAAGCAGAGAGCGTGTGCTGTGATGTACCTGTCTGCACCCAAACCGCTGGATTTGGGGGAGGAGGGAAATGAACATGTACTGAGCACTTCCTCCAGAAAGAAAGCAGTGCAGCCCATTCTACAATGAAGTGACCACCCTGGTCACTCAGAGGTAGGAAAAACCAGAAATGTTTGTTTCCACGCCTGTGCTCAAAAGACCTGCTTACCCCATTCTGCAGGCCTCTGGGCCTTCTGGGACCTCAGCCCAGAGGGGGTGAGATGCCTGCCTTACCAACCTACTCCCCCCCCCCCCCCCGCGAGGCCAGGAGATTAATTATGTTATGGCTATGCCTCGTGAACTATATTGTCCTGCAAAAGTCTCGGGCTGTTGTTCTGTCCCCTGGAGGGCCATCTTCCCTCAGCTTTGGGCCCGCCACCCTGCCCACAGCCCCATGGCCTTCTGGCTCGCTGCCTCCCTCACCCTGGGCCTGTTGGTCCTTTCCCACAGGGGACCTGCTGATCATCATGGCCCAGATCATCGTCTCCATCCAGATGGTGCTCGAGGAGAAGTTCGTCTACAAGCACAATGTGCACCCTCTGCGGGCAGTTGGCACGGAGGGTGAGTGAGCACGGGCTGGGGGGAGGGCGCTGGTCGGGGGCACACTGGAGAGTAGCATGTGGAGTGAACGCACATGTAGGAGCACAGGTCCGGGTGCCAGGGACCACTGGGAGGGATGAGCATCCTGCCCCGCTTCCTTCCTCCCTTCGCCACGTACGTCGTGCACATGGCCAGGAGCTCAGGGAGGATGAGGCTGAAGATGAATTAGTTATAAGCCTCACTCTAGGGGCGCTGACCAGCAAGAAGTGGACCAAGCAGTGGTTTGAGCTCAGGTCACCTGTGCTCAAGTGATGTTGCACCTGCCAAGCCTACCTGAGTGCCTTGGTTCAGGGAAGGTGGCATTTGAGCTGCAATTTCAACAGGCAGAGTAGGAAGGAGGGAACCCCAGACAGAGCGAAGACAGGGGGCGCTGGACCTGAGTTTACAACCCAGTGAGGAATCGTTTGGGCGAGATGCAGGTTTGATGTTGGGAAAATGATCAGGTTAAGTTCATATGGAGAACCTTAAACATCAGGCAAGTGAATTTAAGTGACAGGCAGGGAAGAACCACCAGAGGTTTTAAAGCAGGGAAATAACTATTAAAATTATGCTTTAAAAATATGAAACTAGCAGGGAGGATTAGAGCAGTGCTACCAAATGTGGCCGCTGGCCTCGTCAGGCTGCTCTCTGCGCCTGGTCCACGGTGAGCTGAGGGCGATGGCAGAATGTTCATAACTGCATCAACGACATTGTCACGGACGCTCTGTTTCTGCTCCTTTTTTCCCTAGCCAGACTTTCTGAATGAAGCGGTGCATGGATTTACATTCTGGTTCAGCTCCTTGTCACAGGCCAGTGACGCTGAATGAGAGCGGCTTTCCACACTCGTGGGCACCGTAATGGTGATAGCCAGCAATTCTTTCTTAAACGAGTAGACTGGAATTGAGAAGTCAGAGAGCATTGCACACTGTAAGGGTAGCTGCTGTTCTGTGAAAGCACACGTGTGTGTATGCTTGTGCATGCATACACTGGCCGCAATGTAAAATGCATTTCTCCTGGTGTAGTTGGAAAATGTGGGTTAACGTGGAGAAGGGCAGCTGGAGCCCATTCAGTGGCTGTTGTGAACTCCGGATGAGAGGGGACGGCTCTCGGTCCTGAGAGGAAGGCCCTGGTGTGGGGGCCACGAGGACGGGGTGGCAGGAGATGAGGGGAGGCCTGCTGGCCCCGATGTGCTGGGAGTGGGAGTCGGAGCCAAGCAGAGAGTGTGACGTGCTCCCTTCTCTCCCCAGGCCTCTTTGGCTTCGTGATCCTGTCCCTGCTGCTGGTGCCCATGTACTACATCCCTGCCGGCTCCTTTAGCGGAAACCCTCGAGGGATGCTGGAGGACGCCCTGGACGCCTTCTGCCAGGTGGGCCGGCAGCCGCTCATCGCCCTGGCGCTGCTGGGCAACATCAGCAGCATCGCCTTCTTCAACTTTGCGGGCATCAGCGTCACCAAGGAGATGAGTGCCACCACCCGCATGGTGCTGGACAGCCTGCGGACCGTCGTCATCTGGGCAGTGAGCCTGGCGCTGGGCTGGGAGGCCTTCCACCCGCTGCAGATCCTCGGCTTCCTCATCCTCCTGATGGGCACTGCCCTCTACAATGGGCTGCACCGCCCGCTGCTGGCCCGCCTGTCCCGCAGCCAGTCCCCAGCAGAGGAGGGCGAGCGGGAGCGCCTGCTGGATCCCTCTCGGACTCTCATCAACGATGCCAGCTGAGCTCCTGCGGGCCTGGTGCCACCTGGATGCACCTTGTTCACCCTGAGGCTGAGGCCGCACAGGCTTGTGAGCCTCAAGCTCCCTGTCCCCAAGGCCTCGCCCTGTCCCTCCCCACAGTCTCCCAGGACAGGCCCCCAGGCCACAGAAGACCACAGGACACCCAGGTCCTCCTTTGTCACCACGTCCTCCAGGCCTGAATGCAGTGACCACGCCAAGCTCACCCAGGCCCCCAGAGCAGCACTGACACGAAACCACGCAGTGGAATTGCAGGACTAACACCCCGAGGGTTTTCTCATCAAGCTAAAATTACTCTCCAGAGAAGAGAGGTCAGTGAGCAAATTCAAAGCAGAACAAAGTGCCCCGTTTTTTGTTGTTGTTGTTTTTTGTTTTTGTTTTTTAAATTAAATCTTTATTGTTCAGATTACAGTTGTTCCTCTTTTTTCCCCCCATAGCTCCCCTCCACCCGGTTTCCACCCCACCCTCTGCCCTTACCACCCCGCTCCCCACTGTCCTCATCCATAGGTGTAGGATTTTTGTCCAGTCTCTTCCCACACCCCCACACCCTTTCCCCCCCGAGAATAGTCAGTCCATTCCCTTTCTATGTCCCTGATTCTATTATATTCACCAGTTTATTCTGTTCATCAGATTATTTATTTACTTGATTTTTAGATTCACTTGTTGATAGATGTGTATTTGCTGTTCATAATTTGTATCTTTACCTTTTTCTTCTTCTTCCTCTTCTTAAAGGATACCTTTTAGCATTTCATATAATACTGGTTTGGTGGTGATGAACTCCTTTTTTCTTATCAGTGAAGCTCTTTATCTGACCTTCTATTCTGAATGATAGCTTTCCTGGGTAAAGTAATCTTGGTTGTAGGTTCTTGCTATTCATCACTTTGAATATTTCTTGCCACTCCCTTCTGGCTTGCATAGTTTCTGTTGAGAAATCAGCTGACAGTCGTATGGGTACTCCCTTACAGGTAACTGACTTCTTTTCTCTTGCTGCTTTTAAGATTCTCTCTTTGTCTTTTGCTCTTGGCATTTTACTTATGATGTGTCTTGGTGTGGTCCTCTTTGGATTCCTTTTGTTTGAGGTTCTCTGCGCTTCCTGGACTTGTAAGTCTATTTCTTTCACCAGGTAGGGGAAGTTTTCTGTCATTATTTCTTCAAATAGGTTTTCAATATCTTGCTCTCTCTCTTCTTCTGGCACCCCTATAATTCGAATGTTGGTACGCTTGAAGCTGTCCCAGAGGATCCTTACACTATCTTCCTGGTTTTGGATTCTTTTTTCTTTTTGTTTTTCCGGTTGGGTGTTTTTTGCTTCTTCATATTTCAAATCTTTGACTTGATTCTTGCGATCCTCTAGTCTGCTGTTGGAACTCTGTATAATATTCTTTATTTCAGTCAGTGTATGCTTAATTTCTAGTTGGTCCTTTTTCATATCCTCGAGAGTCTCACTAGATTTCTTGAGGGTCTCACTAAATTTGTCGGCGGTTTCTAGAAAATTCTTTTTTTTTTGTTTTGCAAGAATTTTTTTTAAAAATATATTTTATTGATTTTTACAGAGAGGAAGGGAGAGAGATAGTTAGAAACATCAATGAGAGAGAAACATCGATCAGCTGCCTCCCGCACATCTCCCACTGGGGATATGCCCACAACCAAGGCACATGCCCTTGACCAGAATCGAATCTGGAACCTTTCAGTCCGTAGGCCGACGCTCTATCCACTGAGCCAAACCGGTTTCAGCTCTAGAAAATTCTTGAAAAACCTTATAAGTGTGGTTTTGAACTCTATATCCTGTCGTTTGCTTTCCTCCATTTCTGTCATTTGTGACCTGTTTCTTTGTCTCTGCATTTTGGCTGCTTCCCTGTGTTGATAGAGTGGCTTTGTGTGGTAGGTATCCTATAGGGCCCAGTGGCTCAGCCTCCCCAATTACCTGAGGTGGACACTCTTGGTGTACCCCTTTGTGGGCTGTGCCCAATCTTGTTGTAGTTAAGCCTTGATTGTTGTTGGTGTCACTGGGAGGAATTTACCTCCAGGTCAGTTGGCTGTGAGAATCAGCTGTGTCTGCAGTGGGAGAAGTTCTGTGCTGGAGACACCCTTCTAGGGCAAGACTTGCTTCAGTGGGGCTTTGGTGCTCACTGAGTTTTGCCCCCTGAGTGTGTCCCTTATGGATCTGAGGAGTTGTAATCTGGATGGTCCCACTCTGACCACTGGGTACACTGGCTCTTGGGTCGCTAAGGAGGTGCTAATGTAGCCTCTGCCTGGGGCTACCCAGCAGGAGCTATGGAGAGATCTGCAGATTCCTCTTCTTTGTTTGGAGTTTGGAGGTGCCTAGATGAGGCCCAGCTGTGAAGCAATGCAAGCTGCTGTAGGGCCTTGGGCCTTCTTTTGGAAGTTCTGGGTCTCTCTGGCCCAGCTGCAGTTTGTTAGGTAATTTTCAGATTGCCAAGGGCCAGGCCTTTCATATGCAAAAGCCTCTGCGCACAGTTTGGGTGGGGCGGGGTCTCAGGGAATCAACAGGGCGGAGCAAGCAGCTATGGCTGCTCCTTAGTCCTACCCTAAGAGGCCCTGGGTCTCAGTGTCCCGGTAATCACTGCAAGCACCTCTGAGAGAAAGCCGCCTGAGTTCCGACCGATGCCAGACAGTCCAGTTTCTCCCTGTATGAGTCTGGGTCCCCAGAGACTCGCCTAGAACTGGAGTTCAGAGCCGTGGGGAGCTTGAGACTCCCTCCCGATTGAAAAAGACACCGGCATCCTCCGTTGCCAGCCCTTTCCGTGTGTGCCTCCGTATCTCTGCACTTTACTTCCACACCTCCTCTGAGTCTCAGTGTGCTTTTCTCTTTCCTTCTAGTTGTAGAATTTCCACTCAGCCAGCCTTCCTGTGGTTCTGGGTGATGTCTGTTTTGTCTTTTAGTTGTATTTTTGAAGTTGTTGTGGGAGGCAGCAATTTCAGTTGTTTACCTATGCCGCCATCTTGGTTTCTCCTAAGTGCTCCATTTTTAAAACGTTTAAGATATCCCCTAGTGCTGTCTGGAGCCTTAGGTTTCGCTAACTCTGCCTGTGCTCCCGGCCCCTTGCCTAGTCGCTCTGGGTCTTGGTGTCCAGTAAAGCAGATGGTGTCAGCCTGTGGCTTCGGAGCCTCCCAACCCCAGCTGGGCCCATTCTGTGTCCTGTGATTTTGACCAACCTGGGAAAGGAGTGACAGCCCATTCATTGGGGATTCCCTCTGCCCACAGGGCCTCCCCCAGGCCTGTTTTGGTGCCCAGGTGCCCTTGCTCACACACCCTCAGGGCTCCCCTTCCTGGGAGAGATTGCAGGGGAGTTCCAGGCAGCCCTTGAACTGCTTTTATGAACGCTGCACCTTCCATTTTAACTGAGGCCCAAAATTATCAGTTGTTTGGCAAGACCAGTGTCCTGCTGTGGGCTCTGGCCGTGTAGCCACATGGTCCTGCCACAGACTGGGATCTAGAGCATAGCTGGCCCTCAACCCACCTGCAGGGTGATGGATTGACCAGGATCCTGCCCGTTCAGAGTAATGCTGGCATCCCAGGCCTTCTATGAAGTGCTTAACTTTCGTGCTAGCACGAAAGTTAAGCACGAGGTCAGAGAAGGTTAAGTGACTTCCTCATGGAGCAGGTGTTTAAGTCATGAAATCTGATTCCAAATCTGTAGCCCCACCTGCCATACTGGTCTCTCTCTGGGGTCTTTGGGGAAATTTTCTGTGGCTGAGATAGAAACATCATGAGCTGGTGTCCTCCCAGTAGGTCCCCCTCAGCCTCCTCAAAGAGAGGGAGCTGGCATCCGGGACCCCAGGGAGCCGAGCAGCCCTCCATCCCAGCGTTCCTCACTCCCTGTCAGTCTCTGGGGCCTCAGACTATTTTCCTGGGCAGCTCGAGCATAAAACAGCAAATGCTGTCCTTAAAATCAAGTCTAGGGGAAGGGATCTTTGACAAGTAAAACCCTCAGGCTGTGTGGGAATCCAGCGGGCTATTAAAGGTTGTTGGGAGAAGAGGGTCTTTCTTTCCCACCAGCCCTGAGTCCCAGGAGCCCCTGGGCAGCTCCAGACACATTGTGTGTCACAGGAAGAAGGAAATGGAGAGTGAGGGTCCTGGGGACTACAGCTGCCTTGTCAAAACAACAACAACAACAACAACCTACCTTGGGATGTTGTTTCAGCCTTTCTGTTAAAAAAGAAAAGGGAAATTAGCAGTATGGATTTTTTTAAAGAGGGAAGGAGTGGCAATTGGGGTGTTCCTGGGCAGCCTCTAGAATGTTGGATGGAAAAGCTCTCATGTACCAAAGCATGGAAACATCAGTTCAAACACAATGTAATTTAAACCATCTGTATTGCAGTGAACTCAGCAGTCCCTGCCCATCACAAAGTGGTCCTGGGGGAACCTGAGGCCCTGGAGTGCCCCTCCACCCCTCTCACAGGGATCTGCCCACCAGGCAGAAATGTAGGGCCCTGACAAGTGGTTCTGTTTGCTTTCACTTTGTCAGAAGGGCTCAGCATAGTTTAAGCAAACAATACTCCAGGAGGTCAGAGCCCTGACCCCTAATGAGGATAGGCAGGGGACTGGAGCAGAGGGTCACCTGGTGCAGGGGAGAGAAGCAGAATCAGGAGTCAGAGAGTGTGTCCTCAACCCTGCCTCTACCTCAACGGGGTGACCGTGGACCAGTCACGTTACCTCTCAAGCCTTGGCTCCCATAAAAAGCCGAGCTTCTCAGCATTCTTAAATGTGCCCACCTCCCTAACCCACCTGTAGATCAATATTCTTTCTTATTTGCCTGGGTTTAGAGCCCCTCTGGCCTTTTGTTGACTACATCTCTTCAAAACCTGCCATCAGCAGGGAGTTCCCTATGTAGCCATGAAAGTTTATAAATCACCCTTCTTCATTGTCACAAAAAAATTTTAATGAGGGATTTCTGTCCCAGAATTCAGCATTGTCAGAATTTACTTTTTTAAGGCTGAATAATAGTCCATTGTATGTATATACCACAATTTGTTTATTCATCCATTGGGACATTTTGGGCTTTTGGGAATAACACTGCTATGTGTACAAATATCTTTTCAAGTCCCTGCTTTTAATTCTTTTTTTATTATTATTGACTTGTTTGTTTGTTTTAGAGAGGAAGGGAAAGAGAGAGGGAGAAACATCGATGTAAAAGAGAAACATGGATAGGCTGCCTCCTGCACACACCCTGGCAATACTGAGCATGTGCCTTCACTGGGAATGGAACCAACTGAGCCACACTGGCCAGGGCCCTGCTTCTAATTCTTTTGAGTGTATACCCAGAAGTGGAATTGCTGGATCATAGGCTAATTCTATGTTTAACTGTTGGGCCAATTGCCATTTTATTTTCCCACTGCGGTTGCATCATTTTAAATTCCCACCAGCAGTGAACAAGGGTTCTGTGAA